AACTATTATTATTATTAGTTATATATAGTATATATATATATATATATATATATATATATTATATTATATATATACATATATATATATATATATATATATATATATATATATGTGTGTGTGTATGTGTATTTATAAAAACAAGATATATACACAAAGATATATATATAGGTGAAAATATAGATGAATATAAGGCAGGGTTCATTGGTAGATACTATATAATGGGGTGTACTTGTAAATACGGGTATTTGTCCGTGAATAAATAGTTTCCATAGCCTTCAGATAAAGGTGTATGTATTTGAGCGAGTACTTTTGAATTGTGAATGCGTATACAGAAAAAATATATAACGAGCTGAATGTACATCCAAGAAATACTAAACATACACATGTAACACACGAACAACACCCAACATATTTGTATAAAAAAGTAGGCAAAAACAAACACACTACTACACACAACACATACACACATACAACATATCTATATAAAGAAGTAGGCAAAAACAAACACTCTACTACACACAACACATACACACATACAACATATCTATATAAAGAAGTAGGCAAAAACAAACACTCTACTACACACAACACATACACACATACAACACCCAACATATATATAACTAAGTCTAAAAACGAAGCGCAAAAACACGTTTCTAATCAAGTATACAGGTAGATTTTGGCTAAACCCTAAACCCAAAGGCCCAAACATGTAGAGAGGGGGATACACTTACTAATGCTACACACGCCACACGGTGCAACGCACTCTACACGTCTCATAGTCCACTCACCTGATAAGCATATCCCCTTTCGGTGTTCTTAAAATCAAAAACCCTAAAAACCCTGAAACCCAACAAAAGCCATAAAACCCTACACGTCCACTCACCGGATAAGCATATCCCCTCTCGGTGTTCTTAAAACCCAAAACCCCAAAAAAACCTAAAATTCTGCACGCCCAAGCACCTGATAAGCATATCCCCTCTCGGTGTTCTTGCCGATACCATATATGGAATATATCGTCATATCGGGCGCGTTGGGCAGTTGGAACTCGAGTGCGTTGTACCATTTAAGCGGATCGTCGTCATTGTCTTCGGGTGTATCACTGCACGGATAAAAAAAAACCCGTGAACCAAGTAAATTATTGGCGTAAATTACTAAATGTCGTAATCTGATAACCGTCCGCTATATTAGGTGTGGTTGAGGTAGTGAAGCGGATTTGCAACATTCAAACAGAACAAAAGTAGAAAACGATGTTGAAACTAGAGGGATGATGGGCAGAGAACTCTATATATCTACAGACACGGATCAATTGACTCCAACCACACGATATGAACCAGGCTGGCTTTACAATGCCCCTGAAATACTAGGCCAAATGACGAAACTGATATATTTAAATATATATATATATATATATAGCTTGGATTATAGTAATCGTGGGTTCTAAACACGTGTATTAAGATCAGGCAAATCAAATCGCACCCATAGAGCTAAATTCAAATGTGATATTTGGGGCTAAAATAATATATATAATAGAACTGACAAAGTGGGTCAGACGTATTGCACCAAATCGTTTTTTTTTGCTAGAGACATTTAGATATGGTATGATAGATTTCAGTTGCAATACATAGGCAGGTGAATCTATTGCAATACGTAAAAATAATATAACATGAGCGCAGTGGTATTATGTCTTTCATCTCAGACCAACAGAACAAACCCAAATTGGCATTTGCAGGGTTTTTGGGAACCACGCATTGGTTCTGAAGCTATTTAAAATTGGCTTTATCCATGAATACAATCGCTTTGGTGCTTTAGGTTTTAGGCAGCCCTATCACTCACCTATACCCGTACGAGAACTGCTTCAGAATCGGGGCCGTGTTGGCAAATTGGGAGGTCAGAAAGTGGTCCAAAAAAGTGGACATGGTTACGTTTGGCATCATCTCGTCGCGTTCACACATCTCTGAGTAGCCATCGGTCAGGAAGTTCGGTACTGGGGTAGAACACCCGTCTAAATATGGAAGAAGGAGGGGGTGGGGTTGAATGCGAAATACGCTGAGATTGTGGAGGCAATAAAAACGAGTATATATACACAGTTTATATTTAAACGTTCATGTCTTCGTTCCTATATACGTATTACATACACACACAGTTTATATTTAAACGTCTGTGTGTTCGTTCATATATACGTATTATATATACTTACAGTTTATATGGAAACGTCCATTTGTTCATTCAAATGTACGAGGTATATATACACAGTTTATATTTAAATGTGCATGTCTTCGTGCATATATAAGTGGTATATATATACACAGTTTTATGTTCAAACGTACATTACATGTGTGGTATAAATGCACACAGTTTATATTTAAACGTTCATTTGTTCGTTCATATATACGTGGTATATATACACACAGTTTATATTTAAACGTACATGTCTTCGTTCATATGTACGTGGTATATATACACACAGTTTATATTTAAACATCCATGTATTCGTTGATATATACGTAAACTTTAAACACAAGGTTTATGCTGGAACGTCCATGTAGTCGTCCATATATATGCCCATGCACACATATGTATGCATGTGTTTGTGTACACCGATTCAATATGTATATCTGTGTGTACACCATCAATATGTATGTGTATGCATTGAGTGCATCCCTTCTGGGTGGTTCGAGTACCTATCAGTAACCGGTGGAGACGTTCATATTGAACGCTTCGTCTGATGTGGAAGTGTGATACATTTACACAGATACGCCACATGCCCAATAGATATCTTAGTATATATATATGTGTGTATGTGTGCGTGTGTGTATTTGTGTGTGTATATATGTATATATATATATATATATATATATACAAGAAAAAGTAGATAAAACCACAAACCCTAATACCTAAAACCAACTCAGTACTTGTGCCAATTAGTATTTGCACCAAGACCGGTACGGGTGCGTGAGTACAAACTTTAACCCATAAAACACTGAAAGGCTATTTTATCCTGTCCTATTTGTTCACCCTTTGGGGATGTAGCACCTACCACGACACTTTTGGTTCTGCGCGTCGTTGGGGAAAACCGTGAGCATGTAGTGGCATGTCCCATTCTCGCCGAAATCATCAACCGAATCAATGCCGTTGCCTGGGAGGTGATATATATATATATGTACATGTTCAACTATTAGGCTATATA